GGGGGAGAGGTAGATACGCTTAAGGGCAGAGATAGGGTACAGAATGACTTAGACAAATTGGAGGATTGGGCCACAAGAAATCTGATGAGGTTCAACAAGGACAAGTGTAGAGTCCTGCACTTGGGACGGAAGAATCCCAAGCATAGTTACAAGCTGGGGACCAACTAGTTAAGTAGTAGTTCCGCAGAAAGAGACCTGGGGGTTACAGTGGATGAGAAGCTGGATATGAGTCAACAGTGTGCCCTTGTAGCCAAGAAGGCTAATGGCATATTAGGTTGCATTAAGAAGAGCACTGCCAGCAGATCCAGAGCTTGACAAAGCCCTGGCTGGGTTGATTTAGTTGGGATTGGTCCTGCCTAGAGCAGGGGGCTGGACTTGATGGCCTTCTGAGGTCTCTTCCAGTTCTATGGTTCTAATCAGACACATCCCAGTCAGGGAGCTGGATATGCAGGGTGTTCATGTGAAAGATCTAGGAATGTCATTTGTTCCTATATTATATCTAACTTTGCAGCATAAATTTCCCCAGGCTCCTTTGAGAATATCCAACAGGAATACGCTCTTCACGGGGGTAATAAATTAATAGGCAAGGACAGTTTGCATCCACCCACCAACAAGGGGCTAATCAAACACCACCACCAATGGATGAGTTACTACAAGACACTGTGGAGTTGCTGTGGAGATGGCACAAAGGGATTTCAATTGACCAAAATAAATTACATTTCAGGTACCAAAACTGCCTTCACCCCTCCAAATACAGGAAGCCGAGAGCCACTCTTCAGGTGTTAATTCCATTTTCACTCACGCAAACTCCCCGTGTTCTCAAAAGTTTGTCTGATTGAGAGAAAATAGAAAAAGAACCTCAGAGTCCATCCCATGAATGCTGCTAAGGATTCACATGGTGCTTTGAATCCTCACAGCACAGTACAGACCATTAGGTAATTAGCCTTTCCAGCACCCAGGCTGCACATGCTCACACTGAACACCACCGTGCAGTTCACACTGAGTTGGTACCATGAGAGGTCTCAGCTCAAAGAGAAGCATTTATAGGCCCACACCAGACAGCGATCCCCGGCCTGGTGTCCTGAGAAGTGTATCAGTGACAAAGGCTGGCTGCGTGGGCTTCCTCCAGGGCTTCCTGGCTCCTGCAGCTACAGCCCAGCCATAGGAGTCTACTTGCTTCAACGACGGCAGATTACTAGAGTCTGCCCACCCAGCCCTTCCTCTCTCTCAGCGCCATCCTGGCTCCGAAAGAGCCTCTGCAGCTGCCTTTCTGGCCTGTCAGCCTGAAGACACAGGAGAAGGAAAAGCAGCAGAGTAGCGCCCACCTCCGAATGGCTGATGAAACATCAGTGGAGCCATAACTGTAGCTGTCTAACTAGCCCATCCCAGCTCCAGTTCTTTCTTCAAGCCAAGAGCGCATTTGAGAGAAATACCAGGCACACGAGTATTAGCTTCTCTCAGACCTAGGAACCACCAGGAACAAAAAGCTTTTTTTAAAGTTCAAATGTGTTTAGAAGTTTTTAAAAGAGAATCCAAAAAGAGAAGGAAAAAGTCTCGCTCGTGTGAGCAGCTCAGCCATTCATCAGAGTTTATCTGGAGAAAGATTTCAGACGATCACTGAGCAGAAGCTGTAGGATTTCATTCTGCTCCACCTTTACTCTGAGTTATTCTCCTTTCCTGAATCTACAATTTTTACCTGCAAATCTCAATCCCAGGCCATATATATCCAGTGATTTTCATCTGCTGCTCAAAACCATACTGCAGGGTTTGTGGGTGGCTCTGATAACTGAATACGGCCCATGATACTGATGGGGCCATACTAAAAGATTTTCTATACAATTCTGGTTGATCTGAGTAGGCCTGTGGAAAGAGATGCTACCATATGCTATGGGAGACATTCAGCATGGCCCTCAGGTAGCAACTTTCAGTTGTAATTTGGGATACAGGAGGCCCACGCTTTACGATGGCCCGATTTACGACCCCCCCTTACGACCTTTTCCGTAAGTGCGGAAGGGGACGAAATCCCCCGACTTGTGTCCTCGGCCCCACATGTATGACGGTGCACAATGCCTGTCATAAATGCAGGCT